AAGTTTCAAAAAGAGGTTTTCAGTCTCTCTTTGAGATGCTTGATAAAAACTCCCAGGCTGCGTGTCCCAAGGCCTAAGACATAAGATTCAGAACATTGGGCCTGAATGACCACCCTCAGTTTCCCCTGCCAATTCAGAGACAGCTTCCATTTTCCAGAGAAAGAGACTTCTTTCTCTTTGGCGAGGCTTAAACGGGATGAAGCGTGTGCCTTGAGGTGGCACTTATAAGAAGCTGACATTTCAGAAATAAAAGAAAAAGGAAGTTTTCTGGGGGGAGGAAACTACATGTCTCCAAAACATTCCACAAGAATTACTATATATATATATATATATATATATATATATATATATATATATATATATATATATGTATATGTATATGTATATGTATACAGGATAGTTTTATAGCCTGTGCTGGTAGGAAAGGCACAAATATCTTTTGAGAAAGTCTCAGCTCTATTTTTTTTTTTTTTTTGCATCAAATTCCAGCTCTGACACATAGCCTAGAAATGCATGCCTTCAGACTATCTGCAGGAGGAATCTAAAAGGAATTTGCTTATATGCTTGGTTAGCACTCCTTCCATGTACATTTGTTGTGAGGTCCTGCAGGATATCCAGAGTGACAATACCCAGCGTGTTAGAGGTAGCCATAATCTCACCTGAAGGGAAGCACTCACCTTTGTCAGCTGCAACAGACAAAAATGTCATCTAGGTTTCAGTGGACCATCATTCAAATTCAGAATACATCTGGAAGGGACTGTGGAGGTCTTCTAGTCCAGCCCCCTGCTTAAGCAGGAGACCCTATAGCAGGGGTCTACAAACTTGGTCCTATTATGACTTGTGGACTTCAACTCCCGGAATTCCTCAGCCAGGCACATGGAATTTCATGACTTGTGGAGTTGAAGTCCACAAGTCATGAAAGGGCCAAGTTTGAAGACCCCTGGACTAGACCTATACAGTTCCTGCAACTGGTCATTTAGCCTTTAGTCCCCTAATCATTTTTATTGTGCTTCTCCACACTCTTTTTAGATCATGTCTTTGTGATCAAAACTGGATGCAATACTCCAAGTGCAGTATAAAACGTGACTAGATGAGCTAATTCTGCTTTATTGTTACATTAACACAGGGGTCTTCAAACTTGGCCCTTTTATGCCTTGTGAACTTCAATTCCCAGAATTCCTCAGCCAGGCATGCTGGCTGAGGAATTCTGGGATTTGAACTCCACAAGTCATAAAAGGGCCAAGTTTGAAGACCCCTAGCCTACAAGATGCGAGTCGATACATTGGTACTATTTTGGCAGAAGGATAATAGTGTTCTGTGCATCTTGGCATATAGTCATGCTGGGCACGAGTGTGCAAATATCTTCAGACAATGCTGGCTGCCTCAGCTAAGAAATGGAGATGAGAACTTGCCCCCTAAAGTTGGACATCACTAAATAGGGCAGTGATGGCGAACCTTTTAGAGACCGAGTGCCCAAACTGCAACCCAAAGCCCACTTATGCATCGTTGAGTGCTGGGTCGGTGTGGCCAATTGGGTGGGCGTGGCCAATTGGGTGGGTGTGGCTGTGGTGGTAACGACAGACTGGGTGAGACTAAAAAGTTCAATCAGTTAATTCCAACTTTGCAAGATCTTTTTTTTTTCCCGCGAGAAGTTGAAATTGACTGATTGAAACTTTTTTTTTTTTTTTTTTTTGCACACAGCGGCAGAGGCCTAAAGCGAAAAGGTTTTATAAAACCCAGTTGAAGGCCTAGGACTGGGGTGATGGTGCACGTGCCCACAGAGAGGGCTCTGAGTGCTGCCTCTGGCACCTGTGCCATAGGTTTGCTACCACTGAGATAGGGCAAACCTTCACCTTTACTGCTCTTAACCATGATCTGACCCAGGATGGACAAGGTTATATAGTGTAAAGCTAAAACATCAGTGAGATTAAGTATATGTTCTTAAAGCGATTTTAGAGAGTTGTAACATAGGAGAGATATTAAATTTCTCTCTCTCTCTCTCTCTCTCTCTCTCTCTCTCTCTCTCTCTCTCACACACACACACACACACACACACACACAAACACATACCTATACTTGCATCTAAATTTTCAAATGATGTCATCTGATGGTTCTGCTACAATCAGCCATCAGTGTATGCCATAGTTAACTTGCTGCTATATATAGTAAGGGTTTTTGTTTGTTTGTTTGTTTGAATCAGTTTTTGATTCCTGGAAATTGCATAAACTAGTCCCTGCAGTTTTCTTGACAAGGTTTTTGGGGAAGTTATTCACCATTGCCTCCTTCCTAAGGTTGAGGGAGAGAAATTGCTTAAGGTCACCCAGCTGGCTTCATAACCAAGACAGGACTATAGTACATTTGGATCTAGATCTCACAACCTTCTGGCTTCTAGCCTGGTGCCTAAAGCACTACACTAATGTGGCTGCTTATAGTAAATAGAAGGAGGGGGGGGGGGAAAGCTATTTGAACATTTTTGATGTTCAAAATTAGTTTTTAGGGGACAGTTTTCTCCACATCAATTCCATTTTCAGCTGTGCAGGATCCTGGCCAAGCAAGGCGACACGTCATTCACATGGACCCTAAGTGAGAAACAGCCCCCAAACTTTTCAAAAGGAGTGAACATGGATAATAATAATAATAATAATAATAATAATAATAATAATAATAATAATAATAATAATAATAATAATATTAATAATAGTTGGAAGGGACCTTGGAGGTCATGTAGTCCAAACCCTTGCTCAGGCAGGAAACCCTACACCATTTCAGACAAATGGCTGTCCAGTCTCTTCTTAAAAACCTCTAGTGTTGGAGCATTCACAGCTTCTGGAGGCAGGTTGTTCCACTGGTTAATTGTTCTAACTGTCAGGAAGTTTCTCCTTAGTTCTAGGTTGCTTCTCTCCTTGATTAGTTTCCATCCATTGCTTCTTGTCCTGCCTTCGGGTGCTTTGGAGAATAGCTTGACTCCCTCTTCTTTGTGGCAGCCCCTGAGATACTGGAACACTGCTATCATGTCCCCCCTCGTCCTTCTCTTCTTTAAACTAGACATACCCAATTCCAGCAACCGTTCTTTATACTGTATGTTTCAGCCTCCAGTCCCCTAATCATCTTTGTTTCTCTTCTCTGCACTCTTTCTAGAGTCTCCACAACTTTTTCACATCGTTGTGACCAAAACTGGATGCAGTATTCCAGGTGTGGCCTTACCAAGGCATTGTAAAGTGGTATTAACACTTCACGTGATCTTGATTCTATCCCCCTGTTAATGCAGCCCAGCACTGTGTTGGCTTTTTTGGCAGCTGCAGCACATGGCTGGCTCATATTTAATTGATTGTCCACTAGGACTCAGAGGTCCCTCTCACAGTTACTACTATTCAACAAGGTACCACTTAGCACTTATACTGTTGCACTGGTTGCCAGGACCCCACCTTCTTGCAAGAATAGTTCCTCCAAATCCATGCAAGTGCTAAACGGTGCATAAAAGCCACCACCATGGGACCCAAGTATGCCCTCTGGCTGGAGAAGCAGGATCCAGGATTGAGGTAGTCACAGTTAGAGGGAAGAAGGAGAAAGGACGAGATGAGGCCTTGACTGGATGTCATTTTCTTCCACAACTGTATTCCACATGAATTGTTGCAGATTCCACTCCTGTTTTGTGCTGACAACCTGACAGAAGACCAGGTGAGGTCCACAATGTTGGTGGCACCTCTAGAAAATATTTGGTAGAAGCTATTTGTCCTACTGACCATGATAGCATCACTCTTTGCTTCTCACTATGGGCTGGGTTTTCCCACTGTTAGCATGCTATTCTTAAATGCTGAAACCCAAGAATGTAGCTTATAATTAGAGAGCAGCTGAATATACCAAGCAGGACCATGTATTAAATATCACCCAAAGCAGTATTTTTTTTTAAAAAAATAAAAATAAAAAATAAAATGGGAATATGGACACTACTTTATGAAGTTATAGCGGAAAGAAAATCAGCGTAATTCAGTTTGCAACATGACATTGACTGAAGCTGGCATCCACTTATAATTTACAGCAGACTTGTATTTTTATTCTACCAGCTATTTACAGCAAAGTAGATCATGTATCGTTTAGCAACAAAGGCTTTAGATGAAAATAAGCATGACCAAAATATATTGAAATCAAGCAAGAAAATACTTCTGCATTTTAAAACAGGCTTGATTCTGAGGGCAAATAGGGATAGTAGGAAAAGTGGATTTTTTTTTTCTTTATTCTTTCAAAGAAAGTCATCCAAATCTATCAGCTGAATCCACCCAAAGAATGTTTGCTAATGAGGAAGAGCTGCTTGCAACACATCAGATATTTCTAGATTTGGTAGAAGGAATCCCCAAATTACTCCTGCTAAATTGAATTTAATTGAATTGTAAGCCACTCACTGTGTTCTTTCAGGAAGGTAGCCTGCAAATCTAATTGAAAAAGTGTTTCTGTTCAACAGCTCCTGAAACAAAGGGAAAAGATGCCCTGGGTCAAAATGTCAGCGCAAGCTAGCCATATGACTCCAATTGACCTAATAAAACAGGCTCTGATGCATTCACCTGCCCCGAATTCTCTTTCCTCAAGGCAGAATGGACAACAAAATTGTGTCCAACAAAAGAACTGTGTCTTTAAAAGCACAGAAGGACACCATTCTGAGTCTACAAATCGAAGCCACACCTAGAACATCTATTCTACTAATCACTGGAATAGCTTGTCTCCAGAAGTTCTGGGTGCTCCATCACTGGAAGTTTTGTTTTGTTTTTTAGAAGAGATTGGACAACCATTTGTCCGGAATGGTGCAGGGGGTCAGGCTAGAAGACCTCCAAGGTCCCTAACCCTAACCCTTCCAACTCTGTTAATCTGCATTCTATGCCTAAGCAGATAAATCTCATCCATGCTGGAAAGAAAAACCTGGGTGTTTCTCACCAAAGCCAGTGCCAATTACCAGTTACCTTTAAGGTTTCTCAAGCACCTCGTTTCTTCTACATGATGCCTCTTACCTGCAAAGTGGGCAAACTCTTCCAGCAATTCTTGGAGAAGCAGGTCACATCCAGCCCTTCAGATCAGAGTTAGACTTACAGCCAGCATGGAAAGCAAACCAAATCCAATCAGAGTATGTGGGGCAACTTTCAAATGAAAAAAAGACAGCTGGGGAAAAAAAAATGTTTTCTTCTATCCATAAAGTTGAAGGCTCTTCCTTGCAAGTCCTTCTCTCTCTTTTTTTAGCCAGATTCAAAGATAAATGGCAAAACAGAAAGAGGAGGCAGTCTCTCAGCTCGAAAAGGTTTGGCACTTGATCTCAATATCCCTCTTGCTCAGAGTGAAGCTAACTTTGGAAAGATGCAAAGCAAACACACACACACACACAGAGAGAGAGAGAGAGAGAGAGAGAGAGAGAGAGAGAGAGAGAGAGAGAGAGAGAGAGAGAATCAAGCAGGAGATTTGGGGAGGGGTCAGTAGGAAGAATGAGGGTGTGTAAATTGAGGTGGGGTGGAGGCTGGAGTGGAATTTAAGGAGATGGTGGGAGAATATAGGTAAATGTTTCAACTTGCAACCTTGAAAGCATTTTTTTCTTTCTTTTCTTTTTTTCAGGAAAGTCCAATTTCATGCAGTGGAGATTTTTTTTTTTTTTTTTTTTGAGCTTTCCTGTAAAAAAAAAAAAAAATTGTCCAGTTAAGATGACAAGCAAGTAGATGCTCTCACATATTGATACGAACTCTGTGTTTGACCACATTTTGGAAGTTCTTTGTCATTATCATTTTCTGGATGTTTCTTGAGCTGCCTATTTTAGCCTGTGATTTGGGAATTGAACAGTGGTCTCCTGTCCAGATATTGACCACGTCTGATTCTGTTGAGCTTTTCTAGATCTGGTAAAATTGCAGATAATATATAGACAGCGGAGAGTTTTAAAAAGGGGAAGGAAGGAAGGAAGGAAGGAAGGAAGGAAGGAAGGAAGGAAGGAAGGAAGGAAGGAAGGAAGGAAGGAAGGAAGGCTTTAAAAAAGAAGAAAATGTATAGCAGGGATAAGAAATTCTGAGGTTTTCTATCCAGTATCAGAAGAAGAGGAGTTATAAAGTCAGAGATGAATTTTAATTATTATTCCTAATGGTTATTGAGGATAATAATTTAGCCAGCATTTTTAAACAGGTGAATATTTAAAATTAAATCATTTAGAGATAGTAGATAGATAGATAGATAGATAGATAGATAGATAGATAGATAGATAGGTATGTAGATAGGTATGTAGATAGGTAGATACAGCAGATAGATAGATGTAGGTAGGCAGGTAGGTAGGTAGGTAAGTAGATAGATAGATAGATAGATAGATAGATAGATAGATAGATAGATAGATAGATAGATAGATAGATGTAGGTAGATAGATAGATGCAGTAGATAGATGTAGGTAGGTAGGTAGGTAGGTAGGTAGGTAGGTAAGTAGATAGATAGATAGATAGATAGATAGATAGATAGATAGATAGATAGAGGTAGGTAGATAGATAGATGCAGTAGATAGATGTAGATAGGTAGGTAGGTAGGTAGGTAGGTAGATAGGTAGGTAGATAGATAGATAGATAGATAGATAGATAGATAGATAGATAGATAGATAGATAGATGTAGGTAGGTAGGTAGGTAGGTAGGTAGGTAAGTAGATAGATAGATAGATAGATAGATAGATAGATAGATAGATAGATAGATAGATAGAGGTAGGTAGATAGATAGATGCAGTAGATAGATGTAGATAGGTAGGTAGGTAGGTAGGTAGGTAGATAGGTAGGTAGGTAGGTAGGTAGGTAGATAGATAGATAGATAGATAGATAGATAGATAGATAGATAGATAGATAGATAATTAACTTTAACATTTTCTAAATTTCTAACCCCAAATATCAGGAAGACAGACAGAGGATGGATAGATAGATATGGATAGATATTTCCTGTAATACATATATACTGTAAACTGATTATGACCATTTTTTTTTTTTTTCTAGTTACAAACCAAATTCTGGAAATGTTGCTGGCAGAGTGCCTGAAGGCTGTTAAGGATATGCACGAGGAGGAACTGGCTTCAGCTCAACCCTGGCAAAGACAGACTACGGGATTTTGGAGACCCAGATGATCCTTCATCTTTGAGTATGGAAAGGGTGGCACTTCACTTCCCTGGACTGAGCTGGTGGGCAATTTGAGGGTCCCTCGTGGACTTACAGCTCCTGCTCAAAGAGCAGGTGGCAGCTGTGCTTAGGGTGGTTGGGCTTTGCACAGATTTGTTGTGTGCCAGTTGCACACTTTCCTGGACCAGGAGGCTTTGCTCACAGTCACTCATGCCTTGGTCTCCTCCTGTTTGGATTACTGCAATACTCTTTACATGGGACTTCTCTTGAAGACTACCCAGAACTGGTTCAGAATGCAGCTGTGTGCACAGTAATAGGGGCACCTAGATTTACTCATGTAATACTTTTATTGCCGGAGCTGCAATGGCTTCCAGTTTCTTTCTGGGTACAATTCAAGGTGCTAGTCATCACCTTAAAAATTCTAACTGCAGGCCAACCTTTCCCCAAGGATTTCTACCCCGCCTAGGGTGGCACATTCCTATTCCCTTCCCCTAAATATTTCCAACTGATGGATCTAGGAAATATGTCTTTCTTTGTGGCAGGCCTGTCCCTTGCCCCCTGAATTCTGGGATATTAGCCTTCCATAAAGCTCTGAAGATCTCCAAACAATGGGAAAAGATTGGATAATTGTACATTAAAATTTTGATCTGGCACTAGATCTTTGTCATTTTTAACATTATGATTTTTATTTTTTGAAAATTAGAATAGAATAGAGCTGGAAGGGACCCTGGAGGTCTTCTAATCTAGCCCCCTGCTCAAGCAGGAGAATCTACACCATCTCAGACAGGTGAATGTCTAGTCTTTTCTTAAAAATCTCCAGTGATGGAGCACCCATGATTTCTGGAGGCAAGCTGTTCCACTGGTTGATTGTCCTCACTGTCAGGAAGTTTCTCCTTAATTCCAGGTTGCTTCTCTCCTTGATCAGTTTCCAACCATTGTTTCTCGTCCTTCCCTCTGGTGCTTTGGTGAACAACCTGACCCCCCTCTTCCTTGTGGCAGCCCCTCAGATACTAGAACACTGCTATCATGTCTCCCCTATTTCTTCTTTTCTTTAGACTAGCCAAACCCAAGCCCCGCATCCATTCTTTGTTTGTTTTAGTGTCCAGGCCTTTGATCATTTTAGTTCTCTGATTTTTTTCCAAACTTTCAACATCTTTTTTGTGATAAAGTGACCAAAATTGGCTGCAGTATTCCAGGTGTGGTCTTACTAGGGTTTATAAAGCAGTAGTAATACTTTGCGTTATCTTGATTCTGTGCCTCTGTTTAATACAACCCAGGATTGTATTAGCTTTTTTGGTTAGTGTTATAATTTTAATATGATGTTATATGTTGCTTTAACCTTTGATTGAGAGTCACTCAGAGTTACTTAGAAGATGGATGGCTATATAAATATTTTAAATAAAAATAAATAAAATAAAATAAAATAAAATGTGGGTTTCCATAAACTGTTCAAACAATTTGAATTTGCATAGCATAGCAAACCAGAAAGTGCAAAATGGATAAATTTTCACAAAAATGCAAAGGGAACATATTTTTTTTTCTCCATCTTTAATGTCTACTAACACTGTTGACTATTAAGATCACCAGAAGCTCACTTAATATTAAAATGGACATATATCCCAATAAAGGAGAATATTTGTAGCTCAGGATTGACATGAGGGGTCCTTGGTGCTCTCTGACTTTGATTGTTTGCTTGTAGACATTTCATTACCCAACTAGGTAACATCATCAGTGCTAGATATATGTCCTTCCCTTGTCTGAAGTTCTGAACTCAGATATGGTACACTGTTTCATACTGAAAAATTAACAAGAGAAAGAAGTATAAAAGAATAACAATAACAGAGTTAAAAGGGACCTTGGAGGTCATCCAGTCCAACCCCCTGCACAGGCAGGAAACCCTACACCATTTCAGACAAATGGTTGTCCAGTCTCTTCTTAAAAACCTCCAATGTTGGACCATCCACAACTTCTGGGAGCATGTTGTTCCACTGATTAATTGTTCAGTTGTAATACAGATCTTGCCTGATTAGAAAAGAGATAAATTATTTGGAGAAGAATTCTGGGCCAGCTTGATTACTAACATGTGGCCTAAATGAAAAGTAGGAATTGTTGGGAAAGCCATTCAGTCATCCTCTCTCTCCATCCAAATCCTAGTTTATTTTGTCCAAATCTATTGACTGCCAGTAATTGCAGGGATCCATTATGAGAAACGAGGTTCTCCAAGGCCAAGAACATTTCACCAACAACAATAGAGTAAAGCTGGAAGGGACCTTGGAGGTCTTCTAGTCCAGCCCCCTGCTCAAGCAGGAGAACCTATACCATTTCAGACAAATGACTGTCTAGTCTCTTCTTAAAAACCTCCAGTGATGGAGCGCCCATAACTTCTGGAGGCAAACTGTTCCACTGGTTAATTGTCCTCACTGTTAGGAAGTTTCTCCTTAATTCCAGGTTGCTTCTCTCTTTGGTCACTTTCCAACCATTGTTTCTCGTCCTGCCCTCTGGTGCTTTGGAGATTGTTGGGGGCAATATGCTAATTCTGTAAACTGCTTAGAGAGGGGCTATTGCTATGGCTAAAATGGAAGTCAATGACAGAGAAATATCTAAGCAGGCCCACTGTCTGGGATGCCTATAACGAAGGAAAAACATTTTCCCCAAACTCAGTGCTGAAAGCCAAATGCCACTTCCCAGAGTATTAAAGCAGCTACATCTTCTAAGGCAGGGGTGTCAAACTGCCGTCACACGGGCTGGACGCGCCATCTGGAAGCCACGCACACCCCATTGCCAGCAATGGCAAAACCGTCCCAATACTTTGTGTGACGTCACGTGACGTTGTGAGTTTGACATGTCTGCTCTAAGGCACTCATAGCAGCTGCCTCAAAGGACATGGACATCCCTTTGATCATGGTGTTGCAAGGCTTACAATTCAGTATTGCAGGCTGACTCTGCCCACAGTCTGGAGTTTGATCCTGGCCGGCTCAAGGTGGACTCAGCCTTCCATCCTTCTGAGGTGGGTAAAATGAGGACCCAGATTGTTGGGGGCAATAGGCTGACTCTATAAACCACTCAGAGAGGGCTGTAAAGCACTGTGGAGCGGTATATAAGGCTATTGCTATTGCTAAGAAAAAAATGTGGATGAGACCAGTGATGGGATTCAAATATGTGAACAACTGGTTGTCTGTGTGGATGCTGCTTCCGGAAGTCCGTTCTGGGCATGGGCAACAAAGAATTAGCTACCGGTCCCGCCGAACTGGTGCGAACCGGCTGAATCCCACCACTGGATAAGACCTCACATCACAGATGGAAAGGAAGATATACTTGAAGGAAAAAGCATGAGTAGAAGCACACAGACTAAAAGCAGGGGTCTCCAAAACTTGTAACTTTGTGGACTGTCTGTCACAATTCCCCATGCTGGCTGAGGAATTCTGGGAGCTGAAGTCCACAAGTCTTAAAGTTGCCAAGTTGGAGATCCCTGATCAATAGCATCACGTTTATAGCAAGAAGTAGGGCAGGATCATTTTTAAGGAGATAGTAGTTTTTAGAGGGGGGGGGCTAATCCTGTTAAAATACAGGCAGTCCTCATTTAAGGATGCTAATTGGGATCAGAAACTCCATAGTTGTAATGGCATGTGTGGATGACCTTGGGAGATAAGAGAAAGGGATGTTGCCTAGAAACCATCAGTTAAGAGAGAGAAAGAGGTTATTCTCTAAAGTTTAACTGTCAAAGGAAGAAACTTAGGAAGAACCCACCCTAATTGATCAGGTGGTTAAAAGTGGCTGTGAAAAGTTGAAACCTTCAGCCTTGTGGGATTCTGTGGAGCGCTGTGGAGCACTATGGGCGGTATATAATCTAAGTGCTATTGCTGTTGAGGATCACCCCACTCCGCAAAACCCATGGGTCTGATAATAGCCCTTCTCAGTGGTGGCTTTCATTGTTTGAAACCTTTTATTCCAAGAATTGAGAATCCTATGTATTTAGGAAGCAAGTTAAAAGTGTATTGCTCCAGCAGAGATTTTGTTTTGATGTCTCTTCTTTCTTTATTTTTTTTTTTTTGTTTGCTTTATATTACAATTTGAAACATTTATACAAATTGTTCTATCCCTTGGCTAGACTCCTATCTGACTGGGCCATTTTATGACAATGGCAAATACATAAATTTTAAGAAATAATAATACTTATTTGCTTAGGTAGTGACCATTACAGGAGGGGGAAGGACCATTTCAATAAGTCTATAGTGCCATCTGCTGGACTGTGTATAAGAATGCAGGTCAGCTGAATCTAAATTGCGACCTTTCATGGATCACAAATCCAGAATAGAATAGAATAGAATAGAATAGAATAGAATAGAATAGAATAGAAATATGGAATGGAATAGAAAATATTTAATGGAATGGAATGGAATAGAATAGAATAGAATAGAAATATGGAATGGAATAGAAAATATTTAATGGAGTGGAATAGAATAGAATAGAATAGAATAGAATAGAATAGAATAGAATAGAATAGAATAGAATAGAATAGAATAGAATAGAATATGGAATGGAATAGAAAATATTTAATGGAATGGAATGGAATAGAATAGAATAGAATAGAATAAGGGACCTTGAAGATCTTCTAGTCCAGCCCCCTGCTTGAGCAGGTGACCCTATACCATTTCAAACAAGTGGCTGGCCAATATCTTCTTAAAACCCTTTGGTGATGGAGCACCCACAACTTCTGAAGGCAAGGCATTCCACTAGTTAATTGTTCTCACCATTAGGAAATTTCTCCTTAGTTCTAGGTTGCTTCTCCCCTTGACTAGTTACCATCCATTGTTTCTCGTCCTGCTTTCAAGTGCTTTGGAAAATAGTTTGACCTCTTCTTTGTGGCAGCCCCTCAAATACTGGATATTTAAAGAAAGTAATGTTTAAATTTGTGTTTTGGGGATTCTATATAAAATGATGGATAATAATATAAGTACAATACTAGAAAATGTTTAAAGTATATTATAATGTGTGTTTAATGTTTGTAACTATTATGTTTTAGAGAAGATAATTTGTTTAATTTAAGGTATTTAGATTTGTTTAGGATTTATATGTGTTTTAAGTTTTTTTCTATTTTTTATTTTCTTTGAAAATTTTAATTAAGCCTGTACTCAGCTCTGGGAAGGTTGAGGGAGGGTATGGGAGGTTTGGGAAAGATGGGGGAGGGTACGAGAGGGTGGGGGTTTTGGGAATGGATTTGTTTTGTAAAATTTAAAAACTTTCAATAAAAAAAAAATACTGGAAGATTGCTATCATGCCACCCCTAGTCATTTCTCCCCCCACTAGACTATACAAACCCAATTCCTGCAATGGTTCTTGGAATGTTTTATCCTCCAGTCCCCTAATTATCCTTGTTGCTTGTTTCTGCATTCTTTCCAGAGTCCCAACATTTTTTTTTATAATATGGTAGCCAGAACTGGATGAAATTTTTGAGAAGAAGCTGAACAGACAAGGTAAGGATTCATGTGCTGGTCAGGAATGCAGAATTATTTTCATCTCAAAAAGGCAGTCTTCCCTTTGTGTCCCAATAAATCCAGACCCTTAAATTAGCACTTTGGTCTGCATGAACCAGAGCATAGAAAGGCTGTAAAGAAAGAGAGATTTGTAGCATGTTTAGCATGAAGATGAGAGGTTTGTGAGCAGAAGTTCATCATAAAACTTCTCAGATGAGGGGACCAGTCCAACTGAAATAAAACAAAAGAATTTCCCCTTTATTTCCAATTGCCTAAGTTCATGAGGCAATCTCTTTCCATATTCATAGTTGATGATTACTTTGCAAAGACAAGAATCAGATCCTCTTATCAATAATAATAACAACAACAATAATAATAGTTGTTGTTGTTAGTTGCTAAATCGTGTCCAACCCATCACGACCCCATGGACAATGTTCCTCCAGGCCTTCCTGTCCTCTACCATCTTCTGGAGTCCATTGAAGCTCATGCCTACTGCTTCAGTGACTCCATCCAGCCACCTCCTTCTCTGTCGTCCCCTTCTTCTCTTGCCCTCTATCTTTCCCAGCATCAGGCTCTTCTCCAGTGAGTCCTTCCTTATCATTAGATGGCCAAAGTACTTGAGTTTCAGCTTCAGGATCTGGCCTTCTAAAGAGCAGTCAGGGTTGATCTCCTCTAGGACTGACCACTTTGATTGCCTTGCAATCCAGGGGGCTCGCAAGAGTCTTCTCCAGCGCCATAGTTCAAAGGCCTCAATTCCTTTGCGCTCAGCCTTTCTTATGGTCCATCTTTCACAGCCATACATTGCAACTGGAAAAACCATGGCCTTGACTATATGTCCTTTTGTTGGCAGGGTGATGTCTCTGCTTTTTAGTATGCTGTCTAAATTTGCCATAGCTTTCCTCCCCAGGAGCATTAGACTAGACATACCCAATTCCAGCAACTATTCCTTATATGCCTCCAGTCCCATAATCATCTCTGTTGCTCTTGTCTGTACTCTTTCTAGAGTCTCAACATTGTTTTTGCATTGTGGTGACCAAAACTGGATACAGGATTCCAAGTGTGGCCTTACCAAGGCATTGTAAAGCGATATTAACACTTCACGTAATTTTGATTCTATCCCTCTGTTAATGCAGCCTAGCACTGTGTTGGCTTTTTTGGCAGCTGCAGCACATTGCTTGCTCATACTTAAGTCTTAAATGATTGTCCACTAGGACTGTGAGTTCCTTTCACAGTTACTACTATTCAGCAAGTTCAAAAAATGTCTATTTGCATGAGACTTGCATGAGAAAGCAAGATCTGTTTCCTGTCCCAGAACAGATATGCAAAATCTGTTAAGAACTGCTTACCATTGCTTGCTACTTCAAGATTAAATTATCAAATTTAATGTGCTATCAAACAAAACATGTTTCTCTTTAATATGTCCAATTTTGGAGATAATTAACAGAGCATAGTATAGGTAGAGCCTACTGTTCTTCATCTGCTGAACTACAAGTAGCCTGAACAGGGCTTACAATGCATCACATTTTCTCTGCAATGCCTTCTGCTTTGGTCATCATCAGTCCCTCCATCCATCAATAAGACGAGACATTAATCTTCTCACCAACTGTGGACCAATAGGTAAGAGGTTTAATCTAATCTAATTTAGGAATAAGCAAAAAAAAATTGTACACTAAACTAGCAATTTCTGCATCTGATTTTTCATATCAAAAATCTTTTTTGTGATATTTATGTTGATAATTACCTAAAATTCAATTTTTTCTGTAATGCTGTCAATTCAATTCAACTGGAGGGGACCCTGGAGGGCTTCCACTCCACACCACCCCACTCAAGCAGGAGAGCCTATTCCATTCCAGACAAGTGGCAGTCCAGTTTTTTGTAAAAGCTTCCAGTGATGGAGCCATTCCACTCGTTAATTGTCCTCACTCTTAGGAAGTTTCTCCTTAGTTCTAGATTGCTTCTCTCTTTGGTCAGTTTCCATCCGTTGCTTCTTGTCCTGCCTTCAGGTGCTTTGGAGAATAGCTTGACTCCCTCTTCTTTGGGGCAGTCCCTGAGATACTGGAAGACTGCTATTATGTCCCCCCTCGTCCTTCTTTTCTCTAGACTAGCTATACCCAAATCATGTAACTATACCCATAATCCTGTATGCTTTAGTCTCCAGGCCTTTAAAATACCCCCCCCCACACACACTGGTTTGTCCATTAAAACAAACAAGTGCAAATATCTTACAAGCAATTAAATTACCCAAAACCTCAATTTTAACTGTCTTGGTGTAAAGTTTCTCCAAAATTTCTCCTTTTAGCTCACTCAACCTTATTTTTCAACTGCTTTCCTACTTTATTTCCATGACAAATGTTCTCCCTTCAGGATTGTGTATTAAAATACAGAGAAGAGCAACAAAGATGATCAGGGGACTGGATGCTAAAACATATAAGGAATGGTTGCTGGAGTAGGGTCTGTCTAGTTTAATGAAGAGAAGGATGAGGGGTGATATGATAGCAGCATTCCAATATCTCAGGGGCTTCCTCAAAGAAGAGGGAGCCAAGCTATTCTCCAAAGTGCCTGAAGGCAGGACAAGAAGCAACGGATGGAAACTGACCAAAGAGAGACACAACTTAGAACTAAGGAGAAACTTCCTGACAGTTAGAACAATTAACCAGTGGAACAACCTGCCTCCAGAAGCTGTGAATGCTCCCACACTGGAAGTTTTTAAGAAGAGACTGGACAGCCATTTGTCTGAAATGGTGTAGGGTTTCCTGCCTGAGCAGGGGGTTGGACTAGATGACCTCCAAGGTGCCTTCCAACTTTATTATTATTATTGTTATTATAATAATAAAATTGGTGATTCCCATTGAGTCCTGGAAATTTTGCCTACCCTCTTTACAAAGTGCAAAGGTCACAGATTCTCAGATGGGAATCTGAAAACTGTCCAGTATCCACAAGAGAAAGAAGAGGGTTGCATGCAAGAAACGTTGGAAGTTTGAATTTAAGTGATTGAATTGAATTTATGCTGTATACTGCTTAGAGAGGACTGTAAAACACTATGAAGCAGTATATACTATAAAACTAAGGGCTATTGCTATTTATAGCATTTATTCTGACAGTTTGATCTTGTGCAGATAGAATTAGCCCTGTCTCTTTCTTCTGCTGCTCTTAGCCATTGCCAGTTCTTATTATTTTCTGCTTTGCCTGTTGTTTTTTTGTAATGTATTGGTCATGTAAATCTTTTCTTTCCATATCTATTTTGGGTTCTTCATATGATTTTATAGGCCAGGTTTGGTCTCTCCAGTTCTCAATAAGCCTTCCTGGTTTATTACTACTATGTTTTGTCACACAAGTCAGCCAGATGTTAAGACTGAATTTGGCATTTTTATCAACCCATAAATTCCTTCCCAAAGATCTGGGATGGGCAGATGTTGATACTAGAAGTGTCACCCCAGGATGTAAATTGTTCTGAGTAAAGCTGCCTTTTGCAATTGACTGCTGCTGAATTTGTCAGTGCCGATGGTATTCAAGGGATGCTCCAGTGGTTTTAAAATTGCACCCAAGGGACTTATTACTACTATTATTACTATTACTATTAGCAGAGGTCAAAATGTTGGCTCAATCTGTACACAGAGAAGTTAGATGTCAAGATATGACAATTGTTCATGAATTATTTTATCCAATCGGCTCTTTTTCTCTCTCTTTTTTTCAAATAGGAATTTCCACTCTAAAAGAAGAGATTATTGGAGCATTATAAAAGTCTATTGATGAATATCAGCCTGGCAAACATGAATGCTAGTGGAGAACATTTGGAATATTTCAACTATTCTGAAGATATCTTTTTTTCTATCGCATTGATCATCTGCTGTATTGGAGCCCCATTAAATGGAATTGTTATCTGGCTGCTTGGCTTCCAAATTAAGAGAAACCCTTTCACAGTATTGATTCTTAATTTAGCTATTGCCGACTTTGGGTTTCTCATCATTATGACTATATTTTGTATTGACATTTTTATAGGTTTTATACAGCCAGGAATTCTCCAGATTATCTTCTATTCTCTCTTAAATGTCACATATATCAACGGTCTGTTTCTTCTGACAGCCATCAGCATTGACCGGTGTGTGTCTGTCCTCTTCCCAATCTGGCATCGCTGTTCCCGGCCAAAATATTTGTCCCCTGCTGTCTGCACCTTCCTCTGGATCTTCTCTTCCCTCCTGATTGGAATTCATTACATTATGCAACATTTATTTTGGAATCTCCATTTGGTTGTGACTGCTGTGCTTTGCCTTCCTCTGATGACAACCTCTACTGTGATCCTATTCATCAAAATATGCCTTAAATCCAAACAGATGAAACGTGGAAGACTTTTAGTGATGATCCTAATTACTCTTCTCTGCTTCCTTATTCTTAATCTTCCATTCTATTTCTACGTGTTCATTACTCATTTTCTTAAGAAGGAGAATTTCGTTGATGCTAATGAACTGGATTTCTACTTAAGTCCAAGTGCTTCTCTAAACAGCAGCGTTAACCCAGTGATCTATTTTCTGGTGGGGAGAAAGAAAAGAGCTCGTTCCAGGGAGAGCGTCAAGGTCATATTTCAAAGAGTCTTCAGGGAAGATGAGGCTCCTGAAACCAGATAAAAAATCACAAACAATTTCATAACTCTCCGCAAATGGATAATTTCATGCTCATTGGCTAAAATCAGGTGAAGGAAAGCTACCTGATGTCAACCTAAGCAGGTTGTGCTTCCTTTTTCTGGTTATTTGGCTATACCTTTCATAAAATACAGTACAGATAATTGAACAAACTTTGTTGAATTACATTCTTGATTAAATTATCTTTCCATCGATGTATAATTTTATGGTACTACTCCCCCCAAAAGTGGCATTTTTGAGGTTTGATGGCTAATTACACCACTTTTTTGGGGAGTAGTGCCATAAAATTATACATCTTATATAAGATATAAGAGAGAATATATATATATATATATATATATATATATATATATATATATATATATATAGGTCTTTGGTTGTTCGGGTTTTCTCCCGCGTAAAATTAGAAGTGTCTTGGCAACGTTTCGACGAAGCAAAAGTCTGTTGGTATTTGGGCAGATTCCCCGCTCATGTTACTTTCCCTTTTATCAAGTGAACGGGTCGTCATCACATGTTTTTTCTCCCCTCTCTGTATGGGATATCCACCTTTATTATTATTATGGGTAGTGCTAAATTTAGTGGTTCTATCCTCAAATTTCTTAAGCGCTCCAATGTCGTTATTGTTGTTTTCTCCAATTAAAGGGGGTGTGGTTTCCCCTTGATGTTGTTGGGAGGTTTCTGGGTAGTCTATATCAGATTGTTTCTGGTAGGGAGGAGGTGTAGCTCCTGGTTTAGAATGTAGGAAAGTAACATGAGCGGGGAATCTGCCCAAATACCAACAGACTTTTGCTCACAGAAATGGGGGGGATTTAACTTGAATATTGACCTACAAGGGAAGATGAGCATGGGGGACACCATGATGGAGGAGGATGATTCAAACATTGAAAAATACCACATCCAGTTGATGCTTGTACATGCGAGCGAAGATAAATACGGGAGCACGCAGCAGAGGAAAGATGTTAAATTGCAGCCGATGAAGCCCCGCCTCCATGGTAGGATACACAATGACATCAAACTAAATCCCCCCCACTGTAACGAGAGCCAATACTGCCGGGAGAGGGCGGAACGTAGCTTTAACAATACCCCCTGAGATCGACAGAGATGTGAACAAAAGTGCTCGAGAGAACGATGGAAGAAATCTTTACTCCGATTCCCCCTCCCACCTATCAGCTGTTCAGCAGGGAATGCTAGCACAGTCTAGGAACCACGTGCAGACGTCTATGGAACCCGTTTGAATCACCTTGTTAGAAACGGTCTCTCAGCCCTGAAGATGTTGGGGAGTTTTCCCAACGAAAGCTTGGCAACCTTTTAATATAGTAAAATACTTTAATTAAAGTATTTTAACTTTAAACTCTCCTGGTGAACGCGCTTTATTCATTCCATTTATAATTATGCCCGGGAGTCGCATTTTCACCATCATTATTGAATATATATATATATATATATATATATATATATATATATATATATATATATATATATAGAGAGAGAGAGAGAGAGAGAGAGAGAGAGAGAGAGAAGGAACTTAGAATTAACAAGAAATTTCCTGACAGTTAGAACAAATAACCAGTGGAACAACCTGCCTCCAGAAGTTGTGAATGCTGCAACACTGGAAGTCTTGAAGAAGAGATGGGACAGCCATTTGTCTGACATATTGGTCACATAGCCAGCTTGTTGTTTAGAATGGATTTTGTGTAGTATTATCAAATAGAGAATAGAGCTGGAAGGACCTTGGAGGTCTTCTAGTCCAGCCCCTTGCTCAAGCAAGAGAATACATACCATTTTAGATAGGTGGTTGGCCACTCTTTTCTTAAAAACATCCAGTGTTAGAGTAACCACATCTTCTAGAGGCAAGTCAGTACACAGATTAATTGTGGACTATTTGTGACTCCCTGCATTGTGTGGGAAATAGATTGATGAGAATAGGACATTAGATACAGAATGATGGGTCAATTACATTATTAATAAGAATAAAAACATGATTTACATTGGAAAAAAGGGAAACCTCAGCAAGACTAGCCCTTGAGGCCTGCTATGCAGGGAATCTGCACGGAGTTCCTTGGGGGAAAATGGAAATGTTTGAGAAGAGGCTGTCCAGACCAGGTAAGGATTCATGAGCTGATCAGGAATGAAGAATTATTTTCATCTCAAATAGGTAGATTTCCATAACCTTAAATAAGTACTTTGGTTTGTGTGAACCAGGGTGTGGGAAGACTAAAAGAAAGTTGTATCATGTTTAGCATGAAAATGTCCGGTTTGTGGGCAGATGTTCAACATAAAACTTCTCAGATGAGGTGAGCAGTCCAACTGAAGTAGTAATAATAATTATTATTATTATTATTATTATTATGGATCATCGCACAGTCAGTCAGATGTTCAGACTGGATTTGGCATTTTGTCTACCTATCGAGTCCTTACCCAGGACCTGGGATAGGCAGATGTGGATGTTTGATGGTGTTACAGGTATCGTCGCAGGATGGAAGCAGTTCCTAATAAGGCTGCCTTTTGCAATTGACTAATAGCGAATTTGTCAATGCCAATGGTGTTCAAGTGGTGCTCCAGTTGTTTTGGGATTGCACCCAAGGAGCCTATGACTATTGGTACTACCCTTGCTTGCTTTTGCCACAGTCTTTCTATTTCTATTTGTAGGTCTTTGTATTTTGTTATCTTCTCCAGTTCTTTCTCTTCTATTCTGCTATCTCCAGGCACTGCCACGTCCACTATCCAGACTTTTTTGTCTTTCTTATCGACAATTGTTAAGTCTGGGGTGTTATGTTGCAGGTGCTTGTCTGTTTGAATTCTGAAGTCCCAGAGCAGTTTAATTTTATCATTTTCTATGACTTTCTCTATTTTATGATCCCACCAGTTTTTGCTTACAGGCAAATGATATTTTTTGCAGATCTTCCAATGCACCATTGTTGCTACTTTGTCATGCCGCTGCTTGTAATCAGTCTGTGCAATCTTCTTGCAACAGCTTACCAAGTGGTCCACTGTTTCTTCAGCTTCTTTGCATAGGCGGCACTTACTGTCTGTTGCTGTCTTCTCAATTTTGACTTTGTATGCGTTTGTCCTTAAGGCTTGGTCTTGTGCAGCCAGAATTAGTCCCTCGGTCTCTTTCTTCAATTTTCCTGCTCTTAGCCATTGCCAGGTTTTGTTATTATCTGCTTTCCCAGCTATTTTTTTTCATGTATTGGCCATGTAGTGCTTTGTCTTCCCATGCCTCTATTCTGTTCTTCATTTGGTCTTTCTTGTAGGCCAGTTTGGTCTCTCCAGTAGTTAGTAAGCCTTCCTGATATACTAATTTCAGTGCATCTTCATCATTGTTCTTCAGATATTCTTCCAAAGCCATTTTTTCTTCTTCAACCATCTGATGTACTTGTAGCATTCCACGCCCACCTATTTGCCTTGGTAGATAAAGTCTATCAATGTCACTGCGTGGATGAAGGGCATGATTCATTGTCATTATTTTTCTGGTCTGCCTATCCATTGCTTTTAGTTCTGCTTGAGTCCAGTCCACTATTCCAGCTGTGTACCTAATGACTGGGATTGCCCAGGTGTTGATTGCCTTTATGGTATTTCCTCCATTGAGTTTGGACTTTAAGATCTTCTTCACTCTCTTGATGTATTCACCTCTAATCTTTTTCTTGACTTCAGTGTGCTTGATGTTGTCAGCTTGAAGGATACCCAAGTATTTGTAGTACTCTTCCTCATCCAGACTCTTAATGTTATTTTCGTGGGGCATCTTGATTCCTTCAGTTTTCACTATTTTTCCTTGTTTGATAGTAAGTGTGGCACATTTGTCCAAGCCAAACTCCATTACAATATCTTGGCTATATATACGGACAGTGTTGAGCAGCGATTCTATTTCAGATGATGTTTTTCCATACAGCTTCAGATCATCCATGTAAAGGAGGTGGGATAGTCTGGCAGATGTTTTTGATGTTTGATAGCCATGTCCTGAGTTATTCAGTATTGTTGACAGAGGAAACAGTGCAATAACAAATAGTAATGGTGATAATGAATCTCCTTGAAATATTCCTCTCTTGATATTAACCTCTCCCAGCTTCTCACCATTGATCTGCAACTGTGTCTTCCATTGTGCCATCGATCTTTGCACAAATTTTCTGATGTTTCTACTGACTCCTGTTATTTCTAGGCACTTGATTATCCAATCATGTGGCAGAGAGTCAAATGCCTTTTTGTAGTCAATCCATGCCACATTCAGGTTGGTCTTCCTTCTCTTGCAGTTTTCCAAGATCATTTTGTCTATTAGGAGTTGATCTTTTGTTCCTCTGCTATTGGGGCGGTTTCCTTTCTGCTCAGGTGGAAAGAGATTGTTTTCAACTAGATGCTGTTGTACTGCATCATCTATCACACCAGTTAGTAATTTGAAAGTTGTTGGTAAGCAGGTAATTGGCCTGTAGTTACCTGGTGTTGCCCCTTTTGCTGGATTTTTCATTATTAGGTAGGTTTTCCCAGTTGTTAGCCACTTTTCAATTTCTCCTCCTTGTAGTATATTGTTGAACTGCTTGGCAATGAGTGGGTGTATAACAGTTAGATGTTTCAACCAAAACCCATGCAGTTCATCTTCACCTGGTGCTGACCAATTTTTGATTTTCTTTGCTCTTTTTTCTACCATTTTTGTTGTTATTACTAGTTCTTTCATTTCAACTTCTGTTTTATTTGCATCCACCTCTTTTAACCAAGCCGCATCCTTGTTGTATTTCTTTGGGTTATCCCATATCTGCTTCCAGAACTGCACTGTTTCTTCCTTGTCAGGTACTGACTGATTCCTTGCAGTTTCTCCATTGATGGATTGGTAGAAACGTTTCTGATTGGATTGAAATTGGAGGTTCTGCCTATAGTTTGCAATTCGAGCTTCATATCTACTGATTTTCCTGGCTATAGCTGTTATTTGTTGCTTTATTATTTCCAGTGCTTCCTTGATCTTCCTTGTTTCTAAGTGGTATTTCTTGATTAGGTATTCTTTGGTCTTCTTGTTCTTCAGCTTCTTTTCTTTCATCTGTTCTAGCTTGCTTGCATGTGATCTTAACTTGCTGATCTTATTTTCTAGTCTAACCTTCCATTTTTCTGGTGCACTGTTTGTTTGTTTTTCTTTTTTGT